GTTAGTTGCTCCAGTGCAACACCCTCGGAGGAACCTTCTTCCCAGCAAGACATTACAGACAAGGTGCCTTGCAATGTCCTGAGGTCATACCAGGCCCAACGTAAATGCAAATCATTCATTCCTTCCTTTGATTTTATCAGTTACATTGATATTCCTGATCACTGTCCCCAATGGCTGAGCTAGCTCAAAACATACCCTGTTAGAAAACAGAAAGGTCAACAAAAACATCAACAAACCATTCTACCGTACCAAGAAAATTTGTTACTGCCAGCTCTCCTGAACTTGTTATTCTTTCCAGACACTTTGAAAACTTGTACTTGACTATGTTGCACAGATGAAATACTCCTTAATGAGGTACTTTAAATTCAATTACTGCCATTCGAAATGGCAAGAAAATAAATCAGTGGAGTGAAATTGCGGATTATTGTTCATTTTACATAAATCAAAACCTTCACATTTTGGATTATAAAAACAAATTAAACAGCTCAATCACCGCAAGGTAGATTTATATTTCACACCTTGTAAAACTCAAGCAGACTTATAAACATGCTCCCAACTAAAACTCTTCCTAGTTTACTTAAGACTAATCTACAAGCAACATTACAAGTTAGAGATTGTTGTTGCTGATATCAGCAAATAGCTACAATATTTGTACTTCAATCTATTGTTTTAAACTGCCAGCTTAGCTGGTGAATATCTTTTTTAAAAATTTGTTCATGGAATATGGGCTTCATGAACTAAATCAGCATGAATCGTCTTTCCCTAACTGCTTTGGAGAAGGTGATGGCGAGCTTACTTCTCAAACCACTGCAGTCCTTGGGATGTAGGGACACCTACAGTGCTGTTGGGAAGGGAGTTCAGCCCAGCAACAATGAAAGTACAATGATATATTTCCAAGTCAAGATGGTTGTGAATTGAAGAGGAACTTGTAGGCGGTGGTGTTCTGCTGCTCCCGTCCTTCTTGATGGTGGAGGTTGCAGGTCTGGAAAGCGCTGTGGGAGGAGGTTTGGTGAATTACTGCAATGTATCTTGTAGACGGTACACACTGCTGCCACTGTGCATTGGTGGTGAAATGTTGAAGGGGATGGATTTGGGTGTTAATCAAGCGGGTGCCTTTGACTTGGATGGGGTCACCCCTCGAGTGTTGTTGGAGCTACATCATCCAAGCAAGTGGGGAATATTCCATCACACTCCTGACTTGTGCCTTGTAGATGGTGGATAGGCTTTGAGAAGTCAGGAGGTGAGTGACTCACTGCAGTATCCCTAGCCTCTGACTTGCTCTCATAGCCATAGTATTTATATGGTTAGTCCAGCTCAGTATCTGTTCAATGGTATCCCCAAAGAATGTTCACAGTAGGAGAACTCAATGTGGGTAATGCCATCGAACACCAAGAGGTGGTGGTTACATTGTCTCTTGTCAAAGTCGGCGATTGTGTGGCATTTGTGTGGGGAAAAAGTTAGTTTTCACTTATCAGGCCAAGCCTGGACATTGTCCAGGACTTGTTGCATTTGGACATGACTGCTTCAGTATCTGAGGAATTACAAATAGTGCTGAACATTGTGCGTGCATCAGTGAATATCCCCATCACTGATCATATGATGGAGGGAGGGTCATTGATGATGGTTGGGCCACAGATACATTTGAGTAATAGATGGAATATCAGAAAATTTTGTTTGCTGATAATCATTGGTAGAATATGCAAGTAAACTGCATTTTATAAACAATTCTGTTTGGCATCCAAGAAATGCTTTTATAGTTCTGCTTCTTTTGATATGACTGTTAACATTTAATGTGACTGGAAAAGCATAGCTTGCATTCCACGAGAACTGTTATCAGTTATTTTCAGATGTGAGGATCGTAAAAACTGAGAAGCTCTTATAGAGACTGTGCGAAAAATGTGGAAATAAAAGCTGTACTGTACAAAACTTTTCAGATGAAACTCAAGCCTGGAGTTCACAGCTCATGATATTAATGGATGAACATTTAATGCTCTTGTGTAACATTCCTTCATCATTTTAGTGAGGTGATCTTCCGATTAAAAATGCATTAAGGCAGCCAATGAATGAACAATATCTCTAACTTGCTCAGAGCTTTAGTGAATAACAATGACACTCATTCCTCAGTTTGGTAGCAACCGTTTCAGAAAATAACAGACAGTGATCAGAAAGGCTGTTGAACTTGATGGCTAGCAAATGGAGTTTGTGATGGGATTGAAGGTAATGACTTTGGGCCTCCTAACGTCCAGTTGCAGGAAACTGTGGCTCACCCAGGATGGATATTGGGCTATCAAACAGTGTACAGAGATTGGAGGGGTTAAGAGAGTGCTGGTGGGACATAGCTGGGTTTTCTCACTGTGCTCGTGGAACTAGATGTTGGTTGGGCTTCTGAGGTATATGACAAATAGTAGATGGGAAAGGAAAGATTCTTGGAGGTTCCAGAGATAATGGCATGGTGGCAGGAGGAAACACCGTTAATGAAGATTAAACTAAAACGAAGAACTGAAAATCTGATACAGTCTGATTGCTGGAGAAACTCAGCAGGTTTGGCAGCATCCTTGGAGGGAAAGCAGAGTTAACGTTTCAAGTCCAGTGACCCTTCTTCAATACTCCAGTTCTGAAATGATAACTCTAAACATTGGATCTGCTTTCTCTGTACAGATGCTGCCAGACCTGCTGAGTTTCTCCAGCAATTTTTGTCATTGCAAAAGATTATCTGGAGAGCTAAGAGTGGAATGGGGCAGTCCAACGCAGTAGGTCAATGCTTGCAGAGAGTTTAGTTTGCACTGTTATTATTTCTTCACTTTGTATGCGGCAAATAAGCATTGAAAAATATGTCACACGGCTAGATCTTTGCTTCATTCTTTAAATAAAAAAAAAACCTAAAGCCACAGTTAATAGTCCCTCCATTTCTCCCCCTCTATATCTATTTTGTTACATGCATGAATATCAAGGTAATGAGTGAATAATCAGCACTAATTTACAGATAATCTTTACACCACAAGAAAACCTATAGACAATGTACATTTTGGAAACGTTACCATAGATACTAAAGAAGAAGAAAGAATACCATTTTTCAGTCACTGACACTGTGACATGTTAGTCTGCAAATTACCACATTTACGTTGAATTATATAATCATCCAGCACAGACAAAATCCCCTTGTCTCATCCAGTCCGCACTGACAAAAAAACTACTCTAAAACTCCCAGCGGGTCTGGCAGCATCCACAGAGAGACAGCATGCTAACATTTCGAGTCTAGAAGTTAGCTTGCTCTCTCTCTCTCTCCATGGATGTTGCCTGACCTGCAGGGATTTCCAGCATTTTCAATACAGATTCCAGCATCCACAGTAATTTGCTCCTACTCTAAATCTAAACCAGTTTCACTTTCCAACACTTGGCCTTGAACGTTATGACATTTCAAGTGCTTTTACCCAAGTACTTTTCAAAAGTTGTGAGATTTCCGGACTCAACTACCGTCCCAAGCAATGCCTCCCAGATTCCCATCCTCTGGGTGAAAAAGAATTTCCTCAAATCCCCTCTAGACCTCATGCCTTTCAGCTTATGATCATGTCCTACTGTTATTGATCATTCGACTAAGGGGGAAACATCTGCTTTCTGTCCATCCTGTTCATAATCTTATACACCTCAGACAATTCCCCTTCTCTGTTCCATCCAGTGCTCATCCAGACTTTCTTCATAGTTAAACTGCTCCATCCTATTTCAATTTCAATTTTAGATTATTTTCTGTTTAAACGCACGGATGGGTATCTGAATGCACAACCTCTGTAAGTTCAGTACTGTAACCACAGAATCCCTACAGCATGGGAACAGGCCCTTCAGCCCAACAAGTCCACACCAATCCTCAGAGCATCCCACCCAGGCCCTTTTCCCGTAACCCACCTAATCGGTATATTCCTGAACACAATGGGCAATTTAGCATGGCCAATCCACCTAGCCTGCACATTTTTGGACTGTGGGAGTAAACCGGAGCACCCGGAGGAAACTCACGCAGACATGGGGAGAACGTGCAAACTCCACACAGACAGTCACCCGAAGGTGGAATTGAACCCGGGTCCCTGGTGCTGTGAGGCAGCAGTGCTAACCACTGAGCCACCGTGTCGCCCTAACCACTTCACCACCATCCAAAAGAGAGGCACTTGTTAGTTTTGATATTGAATCTTACATTTTCATCACTTGGCAGCAGAAAAATTGAATTGTTTGCAATGTCTCAAGACAAGATCTTTTGTGTCAATTGGACAAGCTGAAAAGAGAAAGAGCTGAGGGGGGGGTGGTTGCCCTTTGAATCAAGGCAGAAAAGGTGGAATGGCAACTTTTACTTTTCAGCTTTTGACTGCTGTCTTTACAGAAAAGTGCAAAGTATAGTGAGGAAAATAGCTCAGTCATTTCTTCACATCAACTGACAGAATCAGGCAGAAGTAAAGTGACTGTGAATTTGCAGAAAGGGTAGCTCTTGTGAACTGGAGGCCTAAGGTCAGAGAGAAACGATGTGTGTGTAAATCAAGTGAATATTGAAAAGGGGGACATCTCTGACCCGGGAAAAGGTGCAGCCTTTGCCACAGAAATGGTCTTTGGTTATATTTACAGCCAAGACAGAATTAATTCCCAGAAAATCCCCTGTTAGTTTAATGCAAACAGCCAACATTGTAATTGAGCAAATGTGCATCAACGCCTATGTTAAAACAGTTAACTTGTGAAAGTCACACAAACTTATCCAGTTTGTGCACACCACCAGCACCAGCAGGAATTTGTATATTTCATGCTGAGTCTCAAACAGCTCAAAGTATGATGTATCCAGAATAAGATATGTAAATTCTTTGTAGTATGCGTCATGGCCCACAATGAACAAAACTTCTCTGATGCTGGTCTGTCATCAAGTCAATCCACTCTTCATTAACTCATTAAAACAACACGTGCACTTTTCTTTCAGCTTTGAATCACCATTTACATTGCTGAACATTGTTATGGAAGCTTTTTTTTACCTGTTCATTTCTTCTAAGCAGTCAGTTGCAAAGTAGAAGCTCTTAATTTTTGGATGGCAAGCCTTGAAGGCACTGCAGAGGAACAAACATGAAAGTCACATCACAGACACACCGACTGAAAGAAATGCCATCATTCTTCAAAGTTTCAATGACACTGTGGCAGTCTGTGGGGCAGATCATGAATCTTTGTGTGCGAGTGTATAATGACTGATAGTGAGTGGGCAGCTCTGCTCACCTTCGTTCATGAGGATGGTTTTACGAAGGCAATGAGGAAAGATGGAAGATGAGCTGGTGGCTTATCGCACACTGTCACACAAAGACAGTTTACGTTTAGAAACACGAAACACTGTTGCTCATGGATTTTATTTAAACATGCAAATCAAAACGAAAATGAGCCTCTATTTGCACCTCAGAACTTTATGAACAGAAAGGCACATAATTAGCATCACGTGGTAGTTGAAAGTAAATGTTCTGATCTGTGTGCAAAACCATTCATTCTCTATTGCCTAGAAATGTTCCTTCAGGGCCCCAGAAACTGGGTAAGGATGCAACCCCTGTCCCAAGGTCTGAGGTTCACGACTGGAAGCATGCAATTGGTAAATTTACGTTCAGATGCTCTTAGCTCAGTGGATGCTTCCTTCTGTTTAGAAACCTTTACGTTGATAAACTGCATTGTGGCGTTGCCAGATTAACACTTACTATTTCCGTCTGCATTCAATAGCTCTGTCTATCCTGAACTCTGGCAAGCTGATGAATCCCTCAGCCTTTTCATCCTGTCAAGAAAGCACAGGGTCGGTGATGAGAAAAAAAAGTGCTCTGATATGAAAAATCAAGTTTTCTGATCTTAAAGGCTCTTGTGATGCAAAAATATATCAATTTACATTGACCAAATTTTAATCTATTCAGATTTTGACGAAAATGGGGATGAGAAAAGCTTCAATTCCTTACCTCAAGTATCCATTCATTCAGCATGTCCCTAAAGTAGCTCCAATTAAACCCTGAATTTTTCCTCTCATGAGATTTTATTCAAACCCTGTGCTTCTGTACAAACCGTAATATCCCAAAACAATGATTTCTGTTTTAAAACAGCATTCTTTTCTCAGGTCAAGCTGAAAGCTCTACATCAACAAACTGTACGCAGGTTAACTCAGAATGAAGCTACACAAAATAGATGTACTGTCGCTGCTGAATAGCAGCATTAATGCTTTAATCCTTTCACCTTAGCAGTTACCTGTCAGTCTACTTGTGCTTCTTCTACCCGATATCTCTGTTGTGAGAAGTACTAGAATTGCAATGAACTGCAAATGTGTGCATCCAAGTAAATTACACAGTCGTTTCACATAATATTCACAACATAGAAACGGGACACCCAAGCCAAAGGGCCTATGCTTATCCTATCAATGTCCAGAATGAATCTTTGTCCATCCTTCTTCATCCAAACCTATCTGCATATCCCTTCTTCTCCTGTGCTTATTTAGTCTACTCTTAAATGCATCTACACTAACCACTTTAGCTCTTCTTTATAGTCATAAGCTCCACATATTAACCAGGTTCTGAATAGAGGTTGCTCCTGTTGGATTCATTCTTGGTTACGTTACACTTACAGTCCTGTGTCTGTCTTCCATCCAGTGGAAACATCTCTGCATCTACCTTATCACACTGCCTCCCAATTTTATAGACTTCCGTTAGTCATCCCTCCGTTTCCCCTCTTCTCTCATCCCAGTCTGGTCAATTGTTCCTGATTAGTATAAACTCTCAGTCCTGGTATCAGTGAAGATACATTGACTTCACATTCTCCCAAGTTGCTGTTGTTTTATGATATGGAGACTAGAATTGCACACAACACCCCAAGTGCAGTCTGATCAAGATCCTATACAAGTTTAACACAATGGGCTGAAAATTGATCCATGCTATTAATTGGTTGTAGGGGTGCCAATTCCAGATCTGTCTCTTCTGGTTCCAGTGAAGGTACAGCTAAATTTCATTCTCATTTCAATGATGTCTACATGTAACTGAGCATGTCCCATGCTGCTGGCTATCTGCATTCACAACCCTGTGGTGCAGAAACTGGGTGCCTCAGTTTGAGAAGTGAACATGTGTTCCAGCAAACTCCTGGAAGAGCAGTCTGTTCCTATTAAAGGTAAAAAAACAATTGGAGCAGAAATATTCAAAGTGAAGGAAAATGGAGCACCCATCCAGAGATAAGGCTCCAAGGTTCACTGATATTACTCTGGAAGAGGAGAAAGGAGAGGTTTCTTCACTCTGGTGGACCTATGGAATTCTCTGCCACAGAAATTGTTTGAGGCCAAGTCATTGAATGTTTTCAAGAAGGAGCTAGATATAGTTCTTAGGGATAAAGGGACCAAAAGGTACAGGGAGAGAGGTGCAATTGGGTTTTGAATTGCATGATCAGTCACGATAGTACTGAATGGTGTAGCAGACTTGAAGGGCTGAATGGCCTACTTCTGTATTGATCTTCTACATTTTTATGTTAAACACAAGCGTAGGAGGTGGACAGGAGAGAAACAAAACATGAAAGTCACATCATGCAGTCTAATAGGAATGAACTTCATTATTCTTAGATTGCAATCTTTATGAAATCATGGTGAGACACACAGTGTGTGTGTGTATGCGTGTGTGCTTGTGTGTGTCTCCACATCTTCGTCTCCACAGGCAGCAGATGTAACATTAGTTGGTGATTTGTTTTGTACTGTTTACACAAAGGTAGCACCTCCTTCGCTGTGTTCAGTAACACAGAGCACTGCTGCTGGTTGATTTTGCTCAAATGAAGAGGAAATGTAAGCAAGTGACAAGGAAGGTCACTTTGAAAATTCTGATAGCAGTGTGAGAAAATGCTTAATAACCTCAGACACGTGTTCAAGGCCAGTGAATACGCCTTCATATCATGCCTCATACCCACAAAACCACCACGGTCTCATCTTGTCCAGTGCACTGCACCTCTTCAAGCAGCAACACCTAGTACTTATCCCTAACGCTTACATACTGTGTCACACTAAACTTCCAAAGCTCCTGTCTTCCTCTCGCTGCTTTTGTTGATTTCCAGCTATTTACCTATGGCAGACACATCACTGGGCACACTGCCACACAATCACCAATATGCTGCCATCTTGCTTGCATGAGAAGGGCACCCATAACTGGAGGGAGCAACATGAGGCCAGGGAAACACAGAGACACCACAATTACATGCACCCATCCTAATGACGTGCCACCCTAATCACAGTCCAGCAACAAAGGAGTGTGGGCACCCGATATCGCACAGAACATTCAGAATGATCCTCTGCTCACTGCTCACCCACATCCTGACTTCAACTATAAATCTGAAGTTGTACTTTGTGTAACCTTCATAGAATCCCTACAGTGTGGAAGCAGGCCATTCGGCCTATTGAGTCCATATCAACGCGACCCAGCATCCTACCCAGATCAATTCCCCTACCCTGTACCTGTAACCCATCATTCCCCATGGCTAATTCACCCAGCCTACATATGCATGGATACTACGAGCAATTTAGCACAGCTAACCCACATAAGCTGCATATCATTGGACTGTGGGAGGAAACCGGAGCACCCAGAGGAAACTCACTCAGACACTGGGAGAATGTGCAAACTCCACACAGACAGTCACTCAAGGCTGGAATTGAACCCATGTCCCTGGCACTGTGAGGCAGCAGTGCTAACCACTGAGCCACCCGTGCCACCCTGATCATCTCGGAGCTCGTGCTGTCCCACCCTTCCTCACCCTGACATTCCCCTCCTACTTTTAAGCTTTCAGACACTGCCCAAGCTCTGGTACATGGCCAGCCTCAATGTAGCCATGTGGCAGAGAGAGAGAAAGGAAGCTCATGCCACAGATAAGTAAGTACCATCACTGGATCTCACGATCTCAGTCATCAGCTCAGATAGGAGGGCTAGGTGTGTAGCTTAGAGGCTGGATAGAGTTAGGATCAGCCATGGGGAGGGCAGGCTTGAGTGTGCTGCACTCAGGTTTTACTGTTGTTGCTCGTGATGCAATCTGACGCTGAGTCCTCACAGCCTAGGGCTGCTCAAGGATATCCTGTTCACTTCCCCAGTTACAGTCAGCAACCTTGCATGAGCCACTGGGTGTACCCTGCTACAGGGTCAAGAACAAGCAAAGACCCCAAGAGGACAGGCATTAAAGGTGAAGAGTTGATGGCACAATTCGATTTAATTTGATTTGCTTTGATTTATTAATGCAATGAAAAGTATTGTTTTGCATGTTATTCAGGCAACCACACCTTACATAAGTACATCAGGGTAATAGAACAGAATGCAGAATATAGTGTTACCGTTCCAGAGAAAGATCAACTCTAATATATGAGAGGTTCGTTCATAAGTCTGATAACAGCAGGGAAGAAGCTGTTCTTAAATCTGTTGGCATGTGTTTCCAAACTTTTGTATCTCCCAATGTTTTAACAAAGATCTATAGCTCAGGTTGTGGCTGGAATTATTGGTTGGTTCACCGAGCTGGCTGGTTTTCATGCAAACATTTAGACAAAGAAGGACATCAGTTTAATTGGGACAACGTAGCAGTACTAGGACAAACAAAACAAAAACAAGCACAAGAATTCCTGGAAGCTTGGTTTTCAACCACTGGTACCATGAACAAACATGATGAAATAGACCCCATTTACATGCCACCTGCAGAGCAAAACCAGAAACAGAACGACTCACCAAGACAGACCGGACCATATAAATTCAGAATGGAACAGAACAACAGCGCTTTAACGGAGGCTGGTGAGCACTGAAGATGTCACCTCGAAGGGGGATGAAATGTTTGCACAAAAACCAGTCAGCTCGGCGAACCAACCAACAATTTTGTACCTATTGCCCAATGGAAGAAGGTAGAAGAACGTATAACCAAGGTGGGAGGGTCTTTGATTATGAGAGATAGTAGGAACTGCAGATGCTGGAGAATCTGAGATAACCGGGTGTAGAGCTGGATGAACACAGCAGACCAAGCAGCATCAGAGGAGCAAGAAGGCTGACGTTTCCGGCCTAGATTATGTTGGCTGCTTTCCCAAGGCCACAGGAAATGTAGACAGAGTCAAGGGAAGGAAGAGATAATACAGTGTGGAGCTGGAGAAGTACAGCAGGCCAGGCAGTATCCCAGGAAAGGAAAGTTGACGTTTCGGGTCAGTGAAGGAAGGGCAATATATTCCCATGTCAGGATGGTTAGTGGCTTGGAGGGGAACTTGAAGTTGGTGGTGTTCCCATGTATCTGCTGCCCTTGTCCTTCTAGATGGAAGTGGTCCTTCGGTGCTATCTAAGGATCTTTGATGAATTTCTGTGGTGCATCTTGCAGATCGTACACACTGTTGCTACTCAGCATCGGTGGTGGAAGGAGTTGCTGCTTGTGGTTGCGGTGTCAATCAAGTGGGCTACTTTGTCCTGGACGGTGTCAAACTTCTTGAGTGTTGTTGGAGCTGCACTCATCCAGCCAAGTGGGGAGTATTCCGTCACACTCCTGACTTGTGTTTTGTAGGTGGTGGACAGGCTTTGGGGAGTCAGGAGGTGAGTTACTCACTGTGTTATCCTTAGCTTCTGACCTGATCTTATATTTATGTGATGAGTTGAGTTGAGTTTCTGATCAATAATAACCCCTAGGATGCTGACAGTGGGGGACTCAGTGTCGTTAACACCATTGAATGTTTAGAGGCGGAGGTTAGATAGTCTCTTACTGGAGACGGTAAATGTCTGGCATTCATGTGGCATGAATGTTACTTGTCACTTATCA